TTCCTGTCTCAATCTTTTTATTCACTTTCGAGGTTGAAACTAGTTGTAATATGAATTTTCAGAAAAAAAATAAAGTTTTCTCATGTACCCACGGTGAAAGTGAATTCTTGCATATTCGAGATGTCCTTGATAACTGCATGGGAGAATGGCCGTCAGCTGGTGTGATTGCTGATTGTTCACTAAATATGCAAAAATCGCAAGAACATCATATTTCTAATAGATTTTCATATTTGTAATGTGTCATCAACAAGTGCATGGTGATGTATAAATTGTCCAATGATGGAAAAAGACGGGAAAATAGTTCTAAATGCGTGTATCCAAGACAGGCAAAAAAACAAGGTAAAATTTCGAACTTCTTCGAGAAATATCTAGATAAATAGTGGATTATTCAAATCGCCATTATCAAATTCGTGTTTTTCAGACAAAAATACGTAGGTAACAATTTTTTTTAAACGGCATCATGATGAGTGAAAAATTATCTGCATTTTTCATATGTTCTCGTTAATACTCACGTTTTTCAACGTTTTATATGCGTGACGCTTTCTTGAGTAACATCACGTTAGACGGATAGGGCGTTAGTATGTTTACCATGGGGGCGATAGGCGCACAATGAACCCGTAGTGACTCAGGTGCACTACTGATGACAGAACGTCAACGACATATTCCCCAATGAAATTATGGCAAGTACATCCGATGTACCCTATATTAACTTCGTTATTATCATTGTTACTATCATCATAATTTCTCTTACGTTTATTTTAACTTATCGTAATGTATATACCGCACCTACATTATACTCCGTCCCTCCCGAGTTAATAGTGAATATTCTACAACTAATTTGTTAGGAAACTACTCACTTCCTACATATCATCGGAAAAATTGTTTATTCTTTTCATTATTGAAGAGAGATGTCAAAGATAACCTAATTTGACATTATTTTCGGTACCAATTCGAAAAGATGTCGACTTCAGAGTTGGAAATAGAGTTGAGGTGTCGCGTCCCAGTTAGGAATGCAACAACAAAAGGTATAGCAGGAGAGCAGGCTGCAAATTTCTACAGTTATCTGATAACAAAATGACGTATGTCCAAGAGGCATGTACAAACATTGTGATTTATTGAACGACACCTGTGCCAATAACTATATTGAGCAAAATAATTGAAGAATTGCAATTTCCTGTGCGGTTATTTCCACTCAATTTCGCGATTTGATAACGAGATAAGAATTATGTCATCCAATACCAATTGAATCATAGATCTCAAAAACCTACATGTGCCACCCCTCAATCTGAGTCGAATCGAAGGCACAGCGATTCATTTGCTGCCTTTATTCCGGACATACTATCGTCATGTGATAACGAGTTGAAACAAAAAGCAAATTGAAGGGGATAATGCCCCCTTTGCGAGTCTCCAAACGTGCCACAATTCAAACATATCTAAGTTAGTGGAAAAGCGTCAATATTTCTAAGATTTCACCCCTATCGAAAGATAATATCCGATGGACCAGTATAAAACTCACGTGGTTCTCGCACTACAAGTCATTCTCTTTTATTTGCTTTTTGTTTTAACTCTTTATCGTATGACATAAGTATGTCGTTATTGAAATCGCGAAATCAAGTGGGTACAGGTGCTGTTCACTAAAATACAATATTTTTGCATGCCTTTGGGACATAGAACTGATTTCCACATTCAACAAGTTGGATTAACACAAACCCAAAATTCAATTTTTTTTAAAGGGCTTGACAGTTTCAACAAACTCCCACAAGACATTGAAAGCATAACATCTCTAGCTCACTTTAAAAGGGAACTAAAATCATACCTCTACAATCAATAAAAAACCCAGTAGCCACTATCTGACCATGTTTTTATAATTTTTATGTCAATATGTATATGTTATGTGACAGGTATGTTTATATGTGACAATTGTACTTATTCAACTATTAGGTGTATTATTATAGACATTAATTATCCAATAACTGTGATAACCTCAAAATGGAAAATGTAAATTAGTCTATGACTACAATAAAGGATTTATATATATCAATTATTCATCAGTTAACGGTTGAAATTTGCAGCCGGCTATTGGACTATTAGGGTGGGAAAAACTCGATAAGTGGTTCGTCCCTTGGATCAGAACAAAACAAATAGTGCATTTTACTTTCTAAATAATTTTGGAAAAGTATTTGCTCCATATAAAGACACATCGCAAAAATGTTTCAGAGATAAACAAAATAACAGTTGGAAGAGGTTGCATTTTTTCGTTCACCTTGTAAAAATTCAGGGACGGACACCGACAAATCTGAACACGATCGAAAAAAGAAAACTAACTCTCTTCTATACAAAGATACCAACAAATCATTCGTCTGTCTGCGCGTTAGGGTGTGTGTTTGTGTTAAAACTATTAGGATTAGTATGTGAAATTGGCGTGAGCTTCCGACATAATAAAAAATAATATACACCCACAACATTAATAATTCATAGATTTTTCGACGAATTGACGTCCTTACGTGCGACCTATTGCAGGATAAAACTTCAAGGGATAATTTACAGACACTCAATCATGGATGAATAGTTTGAATAGTTCAGCGACAAGTATCTGTGAACGACATTCTGACAGGAGTGCACTTGTGACATTGGTAACCGCCTCGTAGATGGCTATGACCAACGCTTGCTCCAACTCAAAAGTCCACATGCAGGAAATGTGACGTCACAGCAGAGGACTTAGTGCACAGTGAAGGCATTCCTCAATTGAACTGTTCCATTGAACTATGAAAACAAGCTCTGAAAACTCTTGGTCACGTCCAAATTCACCTACCCACTATACGAAAAGCATGACATAGTCGGAGCGAGCAAAACGACAATTTGATGGAATATTGAATTAAATCGGATTTTACTTGACAAAAATGCATTATAACAATGAGGAAAACTCACCAGAGTAATTGCTTTTCAGAAATTCACTATTGCACACGACACTTGTTTTGCTAAACATTAGCATCTTCACGGTGTATATCACAAAAAAATGATTTTACGAAATGCAACATAAATGGGGCATGTGAAGAAGCTAATGTTCAAGGAAGCAATTGTCGCATACTTGTGCAAAAGTGAATTCGAGAAAATTATTACTCAGGTAAGTTTTTTCCTCATTGCTAATTAAATAGAATGTCATTAGTTTCTGACATTGACAAACGTATTTTCAACATCACAAGATCAACTTTGACAAACTTCAAAAGATTGAAAGAATTCACTCTTCTACTTATTATTATTGAATTATTGTTGACAGATTCTTCAATCAAGTTAGGAATGAATAGTCACTTATATTTTGACAAAAGAACTGTCAATGACAGATTGTTTGTTTATATTCTCTCATCACAAGATGCCTGCCATGAAAAGATTTAGTAGTAGAGTTTAAATATCAGTTTCGGCAGTCATGTCGAAAAATGAAGAAAAAAATCAATTTCAAATTAATACAACATCCAAACGCATTGAATTGAAGAGTAAATAATTTGGCTGAAATATAACAAGCGATCCAATTTTTCTGACAACAATTAGATATAATTTTCCTTGAGTGCTTGTAGTTTTCAATTAAATCCTCGTCATTTGTATAGTGTGTGAACATTTGGGTCTTGAAAAGTTAATTTTAGGGTTGGGATATTGGCATTTAAATCAATCATGTGAATCCTCCAAGAAAGCCACTGTTAAGTTTCTATGATCATAATAATGTCTACTCAAATATATCATATGAAGAAAGATATTGAGCAGATCAGAAGAATCTTTGTCATCTAGTTATCAAGATATAAATATAATTCGACTTCTCGAACCGGTGCATGCTTCTTCACATAACCTCTCAGCTGGAAAAAAACTGTTCATGAACTGAACAACCTACACCCCCTCAAGTTATCCAAGAAAAAAGTCACTTTTTACCCTCCAAAACCCACCCCTTCTATTCGCCAGGGAGAAAAAAACGCACTAATAGTATGGAAATGAAACCTCCTTTCCCCGTTTTTACTACAACTTGTTGGGTTAAGGAGTCGCAGGCAAGACAGTCGCATCGTCGAAAAGTTGTCAAGAGGTGGATCACTCTTTGAAATCATTGAACTGTTTGTCATACACGTTAGGCGACCACCTATATGAAGAGAACCCGCCCACTTGAGAGCCAAACGAAGTCAGAAGAAACAATAAGCCCGATAAATAATTCAGATAAAGGTATCCAGACACTTTTTACCCTCCCAATGCTACTCCTGCTTAACACCACCAACAACTGAGGGCGAAAAAAAAACCTAATAGTATCGAGCTAAAACCGTACGCTCCTAGTACTACTACTAATACTATTTTGAGAAGTCGCACGCAAGACGTTCGCATCGTCGAAAGGTTGTCAAGAAGCGGGACACTCTTTGAAACCATTGAAATCTTTGGCACCTACGTTGCCCCGGAAACAAGTACCCGCCCACTTAGGAGCCAAACAAATCCAGAAAAACAAGAAACTCGATAAATAGTTCAGATAAAAGTATCCAGACACTTTTTATCCTCCCTATGCCACTCCTGTTCAACAACCAAGGGCGGAAAAAACCTAGATAGTACCGAAATAGAACCGCACGGCCCAATTACTACTACTATTATTTTGAGGAGTCGCACGCAAGACGGTCGCATCGTCGAAAGGTTGTCATGAGGTGGGCCACTCTTTGAAATCATTGAAATGTTTGGCACCTGCGTTGGGAGGCTGCCCCTGCAACAAGTACCTGCCCACTTTGTAGCCAAACAGAACCAAAAAAAATAAACCCAATAAATAATTCAGATAAAGGTATCCAGACACTTTTTACCCTCCCAATGCCACTCCTCCTTAACAACCGAGGGCGGAAAAAAAGCCTTGATAGTCCCGAAATAGAACCGCACCGCCCCATTACTACTACTAATATTATTTTGAGGAGTCGCACGCAAGACGGTCGCATCGTCGAAAGGTTGTCAAGAGGTGGGCCACTCTTTGAAATCATTGAAATGTTTGGCACCTGCGTTGGGCGGCTGCCCCTGCGACGAGTACCCGCCCCCTTGTGATCCGGCGTCGGAGCCGTAGGAGCGCGGTGGAGGCGCGCCGTAGCCGTCCTGCGAGTAGGAGCCGTAGGAGGCATAGCCGTAGTCGGAAGCGGGCTTCGCAGCCCCGCCCGACGAAGACATGGCGGGTGGGGCGCCAGGCGTGGCGGGGCCACCAGGGCCGGACTGGCCGCGCGTGTACATGTCGCTAGCGATGTAGCCTACGAGAAAAAAAGGGAATATGAAAAAGTGTGTCCTGTATTTTGGGGTGTATTTTTTTTTCATCAATGTATCATGCTACATAAATTGAGTTTGATATATCCTCATCAAGAATTAATTGTCATTATAAAACTATTGTTAAGTGAAGATGTTGAAAATAAATTACATTCTAAAGTAGGGAATGCTTTTCATTTGTGAAATTGACGAGCACTAAAACCCATAGACCTTCCTATTGAGGCGGAAATCTATGAATCTTCAACAAATAATGGAACATTATAGGCACATGAGGCACTAATAATTGCGCAATGATAATCACAGATTAGAATTAGGAGTTGAGTGTGAGAATTAATCAGTATTTAGTACTTTGCCCCAGTTCTCAAACTGAACTTTTACAAGATATTACAAGATGTTGAGGTGTAAATAACTTTTACGAAATATCACGACAGCGTTTCTTTCATCCTGCAATATCATTTTGGGACAAATCATCTAATTTGTCCTTACCACATGTATATTGAAATGATACCCCTATTTTCATTTGCAGAAAGAAGAAAATCCCAAAAAATTTCGTGAAATAAATAAAAATGAGTACCACAAATTGAACTTATACGTCGGCCAGAAGAAAATATTACCACAACCTTTACTGCATGCTCAGACCGTTCGCGAGAAAAAAATGATATTGTCATGTCGTTACTTCTAACTCAGACCGTTCACAGACCTTTACTCAAAACTTATATTGTTGCAACAAAAAAAAATAGTGTGTCACACTTTCACTTTTAACTTAGACCCTTCGCGAGCAAAATTAAATTCAAAGTACCATATCTTTACTTTGAAAGAACTTACAGCATCTTTCAACAGAACAAATTTTGTAGCACCACATCTCACACCTATTCTTCAAACAAGACTATTCGCAAATGAAACAAAATTTATAGCGACATATCTCCCCTTTCAACTTACATTATGTTCAAGCAAAACAAAATTCAGGGCGCCACATGTTCACTTCATGAAAAACGTTTCTAGAGTGCCACACCTCCAGTTGAAACATAGACCGTCCGCAGAGAGATAGAGCTTCAAACATTTACTCAACTTTCTTAGACTTGGACCGTTCACATAAAACGAAAATTTAGAGCGCAAAAATTTGACTTTGAACTTAAAACTTCTCACATGAAAAATATTTAGAGCTACTACACCTTTACTGAAACCATCCACAAGTGAAACAAAATTTAGAGCGCCTATATTTACCCTGAACTTGGGTATTTGCAGGCAAAACAAAATTTAGAGCAACACAGATCTCAATTTTAAACTTGTACCGTTTCGCAAGCAAAAAAATTTAGAGCGCCACACCTTTCGCGTTTCTAAGACCACTCACCAGAGGGTCCTGTCGATCCGCTGTTCTGAGCCATATTCCAACTGTTCCAGCTAGCAGCTCCGTTGCCCGCGTTAGGACCTGCAAATAATGTGCATAGTGAGGTTCTGATCGGTAATCAAAGTCTATACTAGTGTTATAAAATTTTCGTAAACATTTTCGTAAATATTTTCTGAAACATTGGAAAAATATCGAAATAGGGGAAATACAATACATGGAAATATGTATCATGATATAAAAAACATAAAGAAACACAGAATGCTCACACATGGACACAAATAAAGAGTTATTCTTTAAAAAATAAAAACAAAAATGAAGGTAAAACTTGGTCAAAAATTCAATTTTTTCACAAACAAGTCGGTGTTATCGTTATCCTTGTCATCATACTCCGAGTCATACTCTAACATCTTGTTGCCAGTGTACTTCCTCAAAATCTTCAATAATATCACAAAATAAAAATTGACTTATCACCCTTTTTCTATTTTCTTCAGCAAGCTTTCATTATGGAATACAAAAATCCGATGTTGCCAATAAGTTGGTAAATCGTCGAGCTCGGTATATTCACCCTACTAATTTGGAATCAAAAATACCAAAATTTGCCATTGAATAACTAACAACAATTTGGCAAACTACAAGAAATGCGAAAACATCATTGAAGGTCATTATTATTGTTTTCCATTTATATATTGTCGTTGACTTATCTTGCCCAGAAACACTGGAACTTTTTTTCTACAAACGTCAAAAAATGACAAGGTTCGCGCATTGATAACAAATTGCGAAGTGACACTTTTTTTCAGTTTCCTACGTTACCATGATACCTTGCACAAAACAATGCGCGAAGTAAAACAGTGCGCGAAGTAAAACAGTGCGCGTACCTACGTCGAACATTGTTATGTAAAATATATGAGATATTAATATTTCAACTTTATGGTCCTCAATCGGCCAAACATCCACGAAATCATTTATTTCGGAGTTTCAACAATAACTTTGTTTTATCTCTTGGAGCGCCCGAAAGGAAATTCCTATTATGTTCGTGGAACATCGTGCGCACTTAGGGAGGATAGAGGGAGGCCTTTTAAGCCAGTTCAACACTATTTTTTGCTAAGCATATTTTTACTTTAGAACTATATTTTTTGACGTTTGTAGAAAAAATGTTGTTTGCAACTCGAGAGCGAAATACTTTGGTCATCTCGACTATTTTTTTAACTCGGCTACGCCAAAGTAGCATTTCGCGCTATAGATACAAAAATAACTATTTATTGGATACATTTCTTAACTGAATCAAACATTTTCCATCAGTAATTGCTTTCGTTAGGGAGAGAAATTTATCTAATGAAGAAAGCTATTACGTTTTAATTGTTGATGAATCAACTCCTCCACATAAAACGCCATTTGACGATGCCGTTTCATTTCGACATCGATAAAAAAGGATGCACCTTTATCCCTGTAAAAATGCCTTGTTTTGATTGTTGAATATTATTCATGCGTGAATTAGCAATCAATTATGTATACTATAAGAAACCCAAAATCATCAAAAAATATAATTATTATTGTTGTTTATTTGTATATTGTCGTTGATTCATCTTGCCAAAAAACACTCATTTTCAATCAGTTATTTCTCTGGAAAAACTGAACTTGGACTAAATTGCTCAACTTACTGTCTCGCAAATTTTTCATGTCAGTGTTTCTCGTAAAATTACTGATTGGCAAATGTTTTTCTTAGGAAGAGAAATTTATCCCATGAAAATAAAGTTCTTGTGTTTTTATTGTTGATGAAACTGCTTCTCCTTGTTAACACCGTGCTTATTATCGATCGGTATGTTTCCATATTTTGTCGTGAAATCACTAATAGGAACATTTTTTTCATTAGAAAGAAATATTTATAAGATAAAAAGGATCATGTGTATTTTACCTATGATTAAGCTGACCCTCTTCGATAAAATCGTGAATTCTTGCCGAATAATAAAATTTTCATTGAGAGGAAAACAAATTGATTAAATTTGGATGACTCGTGGTATTACCTTTGATAACTCAAATGATTGTCGATATTATCGAAATAGAAAATAGCTAGCGGAAAATTTTGTTCCACTCACCGTAGGAGCCGTAGCCCTGCTGCTGCGGCGGCCCCCCGTAGCTGCTGCCCCACTGGGGCGGCGGTGGGCCTTGGGGCGCGGGCGCCGCCCCCCACCCTTGGTACGACCCTGGCCCGCCCGACGGCGTGCCGTACCCTGCGTAGCTCTGCTGCTGCGGCGACGTGCCCCATCCCTGGTAGATAGATGAATATTAATACAAAATATTACAATGGAATAATCGTTTCCTATAGAGCATTATCAATGACGTCATATGACGTGAAATTGTCCGCCATGGAACAGCTGATAGAGAGACAAGAATGAACCTTTTCCGCAAGGGTATGAGGTGACTGTTTATATTTTACTCAATAGATACCTCAGTTGATATCAGGCTTACAAAAACGTTCAAATGAGCAAGGATGGAGTATTTTTATGGACATCGAGAATCTAGTACTTACTAGAAAATGCAAAACAAAGGACCCTGCAAATTTTCAAGGTAAATTGGGTCCCGGTGGATTTTTCTCAATTTTTTGCATTATGTAGTTCATGTGGTTCTATACAATATTTTCATTGGGCCAATTCCCAAAAATGGACAGTTTTTTCGACAGGGGGGTTTGAATTCACATTTTGATCGAATTGACCTTTTATTTCTGAAAAAATGAACGATATTCCAAACGGTATTCTATTATTCAATTACCTCTAAAATCAGATTCTTCATAAAAAAATATAATGGGGGATAATTATTATCGACAACCCCTATTTTGAAAACCGAAAAACAAAATAATTCCATCTGTCAAAATTTATAGGAAATGTTTCATCATGGATAATTATGGAAACCGCATTTTTGTATTGTTACCCCTCACCAAATGGGGGGTGCAAATGAAAAAAAAATCGGTGGATTTCGCAGAATTTTTGATATGATGTAGTCCACATGAATTATCGGGTGACAATCCTAAAAAATGGACAGTTTTTCTGCTATATGGGGTTTCAATTCACATTTTGAAAAAAAAAATAGACTACCATTTGAATCTGAATAGAAAGACGACTTTTTTCAATATTGTATTCCTGTTATGCATTTTTTGTAGAACAACAATTCCTTTATGATTTTTCATTCGGAAATATTGTTCTCACCCCCCAACCAGTTAAAAAAAGCCGTGCTACTGTGAGAAGCATGAGAAATTATATGGAAAGTTCTCCCCGCCCCTGGTACGACCCTGGCCCGCCCGACGGCGTGCCGTACCCCGCGTAGCTCTGCTGCTGCGGCGACGTGCCCCATCCCTGGTAGACAGATGAATATGAATACAACATATTTCAATGGAATAATCACTTCCTATAGAGCATTGTCAAGGACGTCATATGACGTAAAATTTTATGGTGTAGAGCTAAATCCGGTGTTGAACTCCAGACGACAATGTTGCTATTTCTGGCGTTCTACAGCTGCCTTAGAAATAATATTTTTCGAAAACTGGTGAAGATAACCTCAAAAGAGTATATACAGGGTGATTCAGGTTTCAAGGTACAAACTGAAATGGTTGATATATCTCATCATTTTAATCGAAAAAGTTTATATAAACATGGGTCCTCTCTCGATCAGTAGCGGAGCTACAGAGGGTCAAATGATATTCATTTGTTTCTATCAATTGAAATATCTCGCTCACTTATGAAGATATCAATTTGAAATTTGGTGTAGGTAATACTTTCTAGAAAATCAAAATTTCAAGCATTTCAAAGGTTTTCAAAATCTACAGGGTGATAAGTTTTTGGGGATAGGGGCTTCTTTATCCCCCCCCCAACTTTCTTGAAGTACGCCAATGACATCTCCCAGTTCCCAAATGTGATGGATCGTTCCATTTGGACGCCTTCAATTTTTTTACGAAAAATAAACGGTTTTCGAGAAAAAATAAGCATATTATTCGTTCTAAAACAAGTGAATTTCATCAAATTTTGTATTTTTGTCTGAAAACCACCAATTTCAATCAATCAACTCAATTATTCCCAAGAAATAACATCTGCAGGGAAGATTGTGAACAGGAAAATGTGAACAAACCACTATTTATCGAGATATTTCCGAAAAAGTTCGAAATATCACCTTCTTTTTCCGCCTGTTTTGAATGCGCATTTACAGCTACTTGCTCTTCTTATTTTGTCGCTGAGTACTTTATATACTCATGATGTACTTCAATATGACACATTTTATACAGGAAAATCAACAAAACACATTATTTTCTTTGGCGAGTTCTTCATGTTAAGCCAACAATCATACTAGCTGACGGCATTTTTATATTTCAATCATTAAATACATACGCTACAAATACAAGATGTCAAATAAAAGTCAAATGTCAACAAATGTGCAAGAACACATACATACTGAACATATTACTTGTGAATGACGTTGCACACGGAATTATTTTAAATGATATTCTTCCTTCTTTAATCTTTTTTCCACTCTCAATGATGGGAATTAGTTGTGTAGTATAAATTTTCAGACGGTGAGAGTGAATTCTTGCATATTTGACATACAGAATGGCCGTCAGCTGGTGTAATTGTTCCCTAAATATGAAGAATCACAAGAATCATACTTCTAGTTGATTCCCCCTCCCTTTTATTTTTATAGGGATTTCTTTTCGTGCGCACCAAGCGATAAAAAAAACTGAAAATATTGAAACTTGGGGTGATGAAATTGATGCATGAATACTATATTTTGGAATAAAACAAGCAAGGGGGGGTCTTGGAATACATTCTTTTGAAGCTCCTGACGAATTCTTCACAGCCCTAGAATTATAAAATCAATATCTTTACTTACTATCAAATGGTGGAACATTTAATAATTACCTGAACACATCCACATTCACTTCATAATTTGAGGAAATAAGCTGACTTCAGTTCAGAAGATGCTCGAAATGAGTGCCTTGAACTTCTTGACATAAGAACAATCTATCCGATATTTCACGCCGAACACTTTCGAACACAATTACTCCGATATTTCGACAAATTTCTGTCCTTTTTCATATATCAAATATTGAAGCAGGTGCAGTTTCTTACACATTTTGCTCCAAATAGCCCCAAAAGGTCTAATGGTGTCAAATCTGGCGAGCAGGCTGGCCATTCCGTAGGAACTCGACAGTCAATCTAACGACCGGGGAAAGTATTATTCAAATGTCTTCAACTTGTCTGGAGTAGTGTGGTAGTACTCAATCTTGTTTGAATACAATATCCATATCGATGTGTTTGTATTCAGGCAACTATTGCCATTTTGTAGTAGGTGAAAATATTGACTTTATATTCTAGGGTTGTGAAGTATTCGTCAGGAGCTTCAAGATGATGTGTCACAAGACCCCCTTCCATTCAATTTTTTCCCAAAATGGCGCAGAGTCGTCATCTTGAAATGTTCAGCTGTCAATTTTACTCCAAATTATAGTATTCATGCACAATTTCATCACCCCCAGTTTCAATTTTTTCAGTTGACCAGTTCAAAAAATAAAAGGGGGGGGGACATTAGAGGAAAGCACTGCATAAAATGTGTCATTGAAGTATATCGTGATACATCTAAATGGGTATCCAAGACAGGCGCAAAAAAAGGTGAATCCTCAAACTTTTTCGTGAAATATCTCAATAAATAGTAGTTAATTCACATTTGCATCATCAAATTCGTATTCTTCATACAAAAATACGTAGATAACAAAATAATTCAAAAAAATCGCATTACATGATAAGTGCTAAATTACCAAGAAAATCCTGTGATTATAATTTCTTTACTCACTATCGGTATATAAAATGAAATGAATTTTCGATTTTTATAAAATCATCACACATGAACCTCACGCTTTGATCGCACAGTCAATATGCAAGAACATGAAGGCGTGAATTCAAATTGAATGTGCATAATATACTCAATTGAAATATTCAATGCAACATTGAAACGCTGAAACTGGCGGCCGCGCCCACAGGCATATTGGCGTTGCTTACAAAATAGTTATTTATGTACCAAGAACGAAACACTGTCTCTTATAGTCTAGTTTGCAAATTGACAGTAGAGACAATAGACAGTTTTTCGCCGAGGCGCATATTGAATCTTTTCGTCAACCTGTAACACTTATTCGCGAGAATCAATGTTACCAGGTGACGCTCGGTTTTCATCGTTCCATGTCAAAGCCACGTCAAAACTGGAGGAAAACAAACTCAATCCCATTAGTGCCATTAGCTTGTGTACTGTATATATGTATGTATGCATGCAATGCAATGTAGTCTATGCACATTATCCATAGACAATAGTTTGTTTTCCCCCAGTTTGAAGTTCGTATTATGTAACCTAAATGTTGCCCACTTCGTGGATCTCGCGAATATTCACATCACGGTCCTATCAACACGTGAAATCTATCAGATTTCGTGAATAATTAATTTGACAGCAGCAATTCCATCAGTAAATATTTTGTCAAAAATTCAGTAGATTTCAATAGATCTGTTTAAGATCTATTTTATACTGAACAAATTCCAAGAAAGGATAATGAAATGAACCTACATATGACGACAAAGCATTATGTACTTCTAACAAAATAGAAACAAACAAAACAAACATTCTCATAGGAAAATTAATAATCATATTCCTGATTCTCAATTCAAAAATACTCCCATATATCATAAAATGTTAGAAAGGTACTTATAAGATTTTGAGTATATTAAAAATAGGAAGGAATAGTAAAAATCAACATAGATAAGTAGATTAATATGCAGATCAGGAGATCTACTGAAAATTCAGTACAACTGGCAACCCTGCAGGGGACGAAGTGTTCGCGGACGAAAAGTTAGTGTCTGCGGACGAAAAGTAACTGCCTTCGGTTTTTTGTTCGGAAATTAGAAAGTGAAATGTGATTTTTGTTGAGGTCGACCAAAACCAATTTATAGTTTTCATAAGTGACAACAGATTCTTACAACAAATTTCATAGTGCTTTCATGTAAGTGGGGGAACTTCATACTATCTTAGTGGTGGTAACAGATGAAAAAACAACCATCCTCGTGTTGCAAAAAACTTTGTAAACTACAAGGCCACCACAGAACCAATATACAGTGATCTTATTAATACCCGAAACTATTTTCAACAAAATATTAATTACATATCAACAAACAAGTGATCCCGACGGGTTCTTCAACAATGCCACTCATATTCCAGTATTCATGAGATAAGGACAGTCACAGTCGGCTAACCTGACAAAACTTCACATCCTCGTGAAGCAACAGTTAGATCCTGGATCCTTCAGTTTGCCGGTTGTTTGCCCTTCCAGGTGCTTGACTGAAAGCCTACAGTGCATTTATCTGACTCGTGACCAAATAAATTGCACTTTCCGCATTCCAGACGTCTTTTAGGGCAATTCGATAGGTAGTGTACGCGCATCTTGCAATTGAAACATTGTACGTTCTTGATATCCGGTTTTTCGATTTCTTTGGAGCCTTTTAGAGCCGAAAGAATATCCCAAATCGGTTCTTGAAGGTCGCTTGGGAACATTTTCGATTCAGGCCTGCTAATCTGTACTTGATTTTGAAAGGTATTCTTCATATAGTGCCTCAGGTGTTGCGTAACGACATGCTCGGGAACCATTTTGAATCGCATCATCGATGATCCCATCAATGAAGCATAACAATGCATGTCTGCCAGATTTTGGCTCGTTTGCAGCAATTCTATTTTGCTGAAGTAATATGTGGTCATTGTCTCGTCTGACTGTTTCACCCAATCTAGCATTTTTCCTGACACCATTGCGTAGTCGACATGATCTGGAAAGGATTTGACGATCAAGACTTTCCATTCGGGCCACGTACCAGGATAGCTCGTTCTTGCATTTTTCGTAACACCATTGCATAGTCGACATGATCTGGAAAGGTTTTGACGATCAACACTTTCCATTCGGGCCACGTACCATGTAAGCTCGTTCTTGCATTTTTCGCAACACCATGGCATAGTCGACATGATCTGGAAAGGTTTTGACGATCAAGATTTTCCATTCGCCATTCCCGTCAATCTTGATTGCATATCTTTGTTTATTTTTTATCTGTTGGAGCGCACTGAAGGAAATTCCTATAATGTTCGTGGAACATCGCGCGTTACTAGGGATGATAGGGAGAGGAGGTAGGTGTCGGTTTTTTTTTTCAACTTTTGGAGGTGATGTAGATACCAATGCATGCATTTAAAAATATGCCAGCAGATGCGATACATTGGCAATCCAGCAATAGAGAATAACCTTCAAGGAGATAAAATTATGTCAAACTTCGCGGTATTTATCATGAAACATTTGTATTGCATACGAAATACCACGAAATACGGTGGAATGTCGATGTGATCCACTCTCGATTCCACTGAACTTGTTGAAGCTTCATCGATAATACGTGGACTATAATTATGATTTTCAACTTCTGCTGGTATATGAACGATAATTTCTGGTGGACTCACAGAACGTATTCTTGTAGTGGAATCTTTTTCTTTTCGATCCAACCTCGTCTGCAGGCATCTGTTGTATCATCTTTTCTGGGACACGATTGTTCATCTTCCTGGATGATTTTCTATCTATCGATCTATCTATTCGATGACCCTTTGTATTCACGAGAGCTAATAGAAGAATCACTAGAATCACTTGTAGAACTTCTGTGTTTTCTAGGCATTTTCGTATACAATACACGGCCACCACAGAACCAAAACATTATTGAAATTGAAACTATATTCAACAAAATATCAATTATATATCAACAAGTGATCTCAGCCGTCGGTAGATTTTGATTTTCTTTATTTGAGATGATCCATAGTAAAGGAAATGTCTACTACTATAGCGGCGTCGACTGAAAGCCATCTGTTGGAGAAAAAATGATGCACTGAATTTAACGTAGAAACGATTCATAACTTTCTTAGTCGTCAGTAGATTTTGATGAAATTTTCTATTTGCGATGGTCGATATTCAAGGAAACATCGACTACTATAGCGGCCTCGGCTGAAAGCCATCTCCGATGGAGAAAAAATTATACTCATTTTTAAGGAAACGGTTCATAACTTTTTTTAGTCGTCGGTAGATTTTGATGAATTTTTGTATATGAGATGGTCGATAGTCTAGAAACTGTCTACTAGTATAACGGCTTCGGCTGAAAGCCATCTTCGATTTTTTTTTATATTCTGGTTCTCACGAGGGATATCCTGTAATGTTCAGAGAACATCGTGAGAACTAAGGGAAATAAGGTAAGAATTGGTGTTCTTCTTAAATTTCTGGAGGTTATATGCCTCGGGGAACACCTACCTTGGCAATGTGTTCCAGAGCCTCGCTGTTCTTTGGATGAACGAGTCTTTGGAAGATGTTCTGCAGGTCTCCAAGGTGACCATGAAGGGGTGCGAAGCCTCAACTCGACGGGTTAATCTCGCGGAGACTGCCAAGGGAGGAACTATTGTTGATATTTCAGAAGAGCATTGTCCATGGAAATATCAATAAAATAGAACCAGATCGCCAACTTTTCTACGGTGTTCTAGAGATGTGAGTGAGTTTGTGAGCGAGGCATCACCCAGGAGCCGAATTGAAAAAGATACAGCAATTTTTACTGAAAAGATTCCACTTCATGGTTACCTGAATTACTCAACACCAATAAATTCGCGCAATTTTTCAAAATCACATCATAGACTTCCCTTGAATGAATAAATATTTGCCAGAAATCTTGAACTGAAATTTGGAAATGACCAGATCCCAAATCATATGATGAAGAGCTGCGAATTGGTGTAAACATGATTATTGCGGTCAATAACTCAACACAAATGAGGTAGAAACGAGCAGAAAATCAAATTCTAACATCATAAATGGGTCGTATGGATAAGCACCAACATGAATTCTGATATTTATCTGTAAAACTAAGGAAAATAATAATAATAACAGTAATTTAATGAACCAAACATGATCCAAGGGGTTATTGACCAAGGTCCTGCGAACCATGGCTTTGATCAACAATAAATATATCATTTTATGTGGCTATCATAATTATTATGACAAGTGTGCAAAAAAATATATGAGGGAACTCAGTGATTAGCGGTGGAAAGGCGTTCTATTGTTTCCAGGGCATTTTCTTCTGGGTATTTATAAGAATTATGTTGGGATCCCTTGTGCAACACTATTCCCAAGTTCTCTTCTTTCTTGCAGAACCTTGTGGCGAAGGCGATAATTTTTTCTTCTATTGGAGGAATGTTCAAGGTCTGGTATAGACATTGGTTGGAGGGATTTGTGAAGGGAATTACAGGGATGGCGTAGGTGAGATATTTTTCTCATAGCTGTTGTTTCTGCTACTGTTAATTTAGTGATTGCCTGTTTGTAGTTCAGGAATGCTACCATACTCCATCATAGGTCGACATATGGTCTTGTAGATTCATTCAGCTGTTTAGGAATTGATGCCTCTGTCTTGATAGACCAAGCAGCTGAAGTGTTACGCTCTTGATATAATGTTCTTTTTCTTTGAGTTCGTATGTGCGTTGAAGTTACAATAATAATGAAACTGTAGCTGGAAGAAAGTGAGATGATTGATTTTGACATTCTTTGAAATACCAAAATGTGGTCAGTGCCGTACTCCAAAAATGTTACATAAATTTTTATCAAAGAGAATGCAAAATACATATCTAACCCTCTATATATTGATTGAAATGGTACAGACATGTGTTCCATTCACATTTAGTATAGTAAATTGACCTATGAATTTCAGAGCGGTAACTTCCAAGGATTTCGAAATATTGAAGAAAATATGGAAATAAAATTGTTCTTTATCTTCTCACGGCTCAACGGTGCATTTTCTTATGGAGATAAGTTGATTTCGATTGGCCTATTTAGGTCTCTCGTTCACCCTTTAGAATTCATGGTACTTTGTTCTAGGACACCTTGTATAATGTTAATCAAGCATTTTAAATATACTGCATGAACATTCTTTCCTCGTCTTGATTTGTATAATATGATCAAATACTGACAAATATTTCAATACTAACAAATCGATTTGATTCAAAAAAACATCTCACCTGGTAGCCCTGCATCATGCCGGCCGGCCCCATGGGCGCGGCCGCGAGGTTCATCGGCGGCCCGCCCATCTGGCCGTTCGGCCCCTGCATCATGCCCATGGGGCCGCCGCCGCCCTGGGGCGGGCCCCAAGATTGGTCGCCACCCATCTTGTTGCCGCCCGAGCCGTCTCGAGGCTCCGCCTTCTTGATCTCTACCTGGAATCATCGGATCGTTATATTGTCACTTACTCATCAATTTCAGAAATATTATCTATTTTTAGCAAAAATTCAGTGAAGTACCTTGTAATCTTTGGAAGAAGTCCATGGTTTCTCAAAGTGGACTCAAGTATTAAATACTAAATGATACACAAAGTCATCTCCACGACATTTAATACAAATACAAAATCTTTATTAACATGGACTGAAATACATGAGTATAGGCATTGTCAAGGTCAGAAAATGTATAAAACTTAATACTAGAATAGAACAATAGTAGAATATAACGGGACATAGCAAAATGACATTATATGTTATACTAGCAGTAATAACATCACTAACATAACATTATCTAGATATCTTAAACATGTTACAATTGGTATTCAAACAACTCTTGCAGGAAGTAAAAAGGGTTTTCTTTCAATAAAATTGTGATTTTTGACTTGAACTGTTTGATTAAAACATCAAAAATTGGTACATGTTGCGGACATATATATGTCCATCATCAGGCTCAAATCAGAAATTACATAATTGTCATGGGGATAAAAAAGGTATTGTCTGCAACTTTTAAATTTCCCTCAGGGGCTCACAACTTGTGAGTACGGGAATGGTGAACCCGAGGTACCCTAGCCGGATATTCACCATACTTCAACTTGTCTTGGGTGATATCCTCTTCTCTCTTCCGTTTTAAATCTTCCTATCGGCCTTTCTTGGCCAACTCCTCTTTTCCTCTTCCCCTCCAAGCCCAACCTCACCATCAAGTGGTGTGGGGAAGGCAGGCCGCGGCCGCTTGACAGATGAAGCATTTTGGGACCATCTTTGCTGTCTTCTGCCAGATGGGACAATTTGTGAACATCTGTGGCAGGGATGGGGCGATTTGCTGATGTCTGTCTAGGTGGTCGAGGACTGGTCAACGAGGCTCTGGCAACCTAATCCAAGCTGTGGGAACCCGTAGCGATGGATGGATGGCACCGAGGAATGGTGTCGCTAACGGGGCCTCTGGGAAACAGGGCGACATCCCAGAGTAAACAGCCTTAGCCCTGTGCAGGGGGTACCACAGGGCTGGACCAACCCCTTCCCCCGTCACTCGTAGGAGAAGGAAAGCTTTTGGCCTTCTTCGTAGGCGAGAACAGGGATCGGAATAGCAATCTTCAGAGACCTGAACGAGAAGGGTCTTTCATATTGAAGTGGCCCTTAATAGGCACCAAGAGTCATATGTGGTAAAATTGATAACGGCATGTAGGTGAGATACAATGGGCCACTAGGCCTAAGTGTCGTCGAGACATCGGCCGGACGAGCCTACAACGGGGTGGAGTGTTTAGTGGGTATACCATGGAGGGGACTCCCACACTATCATATGGGGGATTGGGCCCATATGATGTCTATAAAAGATTTCATAGAAAATATATAGTGAAGGGTTTCAATGTGAAAATTTTACCCATAATTAATTGAAAAAGTTGGTGACAACCTTATTTATCCCCAAGACAATTATGTAATATATATGTCCGAAATGAGCAATTGTTGACGTGTTAATCACATTAAATGTCGTGGGATGACTTTGTGTATCATTTAGTATTCAAAGTACCTTGTGATTGAAATGGATGACGAAGTCAATTTCAACAATCACACTGAAAGGATCAAAAACCAATGTAAATGGGGTAAACACTTCCAATCAATGACATACAGAAACAATGGCATCAAGCACACAGGGTGTTTCTAAAATTAGAGCAATTCTTGAAATGGGTAATAGAAGAAAAAGAAACAAAACAGAATAAAAGATAATAGGATCATGGTACGCCAAACCACTCTGATGAACTTAATTTGGTGATAAATTAAGAAATTCGACGTTTTTGGAAGGAATTTTTGTCACTTATGTTGTATCATTAGATTCAGAAAATGATGCAGAGTTCGAAAATGCAATGATATACAGTGTGTTCGATATCAAAATGGAAATTTATTCCACTTCCGGTTGTTGTAACAGGATCATGTTGATCTTGTTACAACCGGCATATCACTGCATCTTTAAAATATACGTTGAATTTTGAACAAGTTTGATAATGCTTTTATATCACAAAAAATAGTTCCTGAATTATGAGAGCTTGAAAATTATTATTCCCACTATTTTTGCACCTACCAATTTAGTGAGAAAATTGTAAAACATGGAACACAATGTATTTTCATTTTCCTACCCCAACTGTTTGAAAGCTTTTGAGATTTTTTGTGATGCATAAAATAGAGAAGTTACAGGGGAAGGGACTTTTGGTCCTTACTGTATATTTTTAGGTCTCCAGCAATACAGAGTGTCCCAGAGGTCAGCACCAACTTTCTAATTTGAAATAGAAACCGTCAAATTGTCACTGACTTCCAACATTTGTCAAATAATCAATATGGAAAATATAATTTTGTGTTGAAAAACATGAAACAAAATCGATTTAGAAACGTTAAAGAGCTATCCCATTAACGTAAAATCCATATTCTCCTTGTAAATGCAGATTCCCTAAGTTAATATCCCAATAGTCAAACGATGCCATGTATGTTTGGTTGTCTATACCACAATTGTGTTAATAGACAAATTGATTGTTAATAGGTGTCATTAACGATCAATTTCGTGTACATTAATGGAACTTGTTAATACATAGTGGATGAAAAATTTAATTTGCTCACCTGTTTGCCATTCAAGTTCACAAAATGCTCAGAAACGCATCTGTCAACTGCTTCGTCATCCTCGAAAGATAGGAATCCAAATCCTGAAAAAAAAATCAGTAAAGGTAACACAAGGCAAAGGAAAACACTGATAAAACCACAGTTCTCATAACCTTTATATCTCATGACTAGAATGCATATCCAATATGGCGGGCTAACAAATCATGAATCATACAATACTGTAAGTGAACCATAAACAGTAGAGGCTTTCAAATCTGTGGCGAAATGTAAATGGACGCCAGTGGCGTATCAGGAAGATGGGATGAAAGTATTATTATATGAATTTTTGGAAAATTAGAAGACGACTATAGAATTCCAATGGGAAATTTGGATGATAAGTAAATTAATATGCCGGTCATTTTTGGCACTCTACATGTCTGATCTCAGTTTGAAGAAGGAATGAACTGCACAAATATAAAATATATTTCAAACAAGCACATCTTTCATATTATTTTTGCACATTTCATAAAAAATTCAAATGTCATAGTTCATGGTTTAAATAAGTATCACATTCCACTGTATAAAATCACTGATTTCATTTCAAGACTTATGTAAAATTTATCATTCAAATGTTTATAGAATTCACATTTGAATAACCTTGATTCACATCATTTCATTTTGCTGGAACCTGAAGACGATGATTTCATTAGGCTGAAAAATATAGGGTATCTCGAGGGGTAAATCACGGGCTGAAATTGGGTACACTAGACTTCCTTTATTGAAAGAATTCCCGGAATTCCTGGGACTACCCAAGGAATTCCTAGGAATTCCCAAAGACTACCCGGAATTCCTGGGACTACCTAAAGACTACCCGGAATTCCTGGGACTTCCCAAGGAATTCCTAGGAATTCCCAAAGACTACCCGGAATTCCTGGGACTACCTAAAGACTACCCGGAATTCCTGGGACTACCTAAAGACTACCCGGAATTCCTGGGACTTCCCAAGGAATTCCTAGGAATTCCCAAAGACTACCTGGAATTCCTGGGACTACCTGAGGAATTCCCAGAGACTACCCGGACTTCCCAAGGGATTCCGGGATTTCCTAAAGATTTATCATACATCCCAAGGAGTTTTCAAAATTTTGCGTAAAAATAGGTAGATTACGAATGAGTTCTATTCGTGAAATGCAAAAAAAGTCAATCGATAGGTAGGTTGAATTCAAACCCAAGGACGAAACTTGGGCAATGAAAAAGCATGTAGGGATTAGTGATAAAGTACTCGGATAAGTACGAGGATAAGTATCATTAACACTACTGGGTGTTTCTGAATTCGAGTGACAGAAGCCTATACAGGTTTCTTCCTATTTAAATAAAAAATTAGTAGGTATGTATACCATTTACAGATTTTGCAAAAAAGTTCTTGTACACATTGAAAAAAAATCTTTTGCCGATTTGAATGATAATTATTTTAACAGCTCATTGAAGTCTTCTTGAGATATCGTTCGGAACTCTTTAATTTGCCCAGTTATTCAAGAATTGTGTTTACGACAAGTGTTTCACTTTTGTTCACGAAGAATACCATTAGTCGATTTTCCCAATTCATTTCAGATGAAACAGTTGAAAATACAGGATGGGCCACCAGTAACGCCTCGGTCTCTAGAAGGCTAACCACTTATCTTCTTGGAATTCTTCCTCTCTAGGAAGTTGCATGTCAACATAGGCTACCATTTAAAATTATTTCGAAACATACAGGGTGTCCCCAAAAACCATAAAACGCTGAAGTTAAACTTTTTTCTATCGAACACCCTATATATTATTTCATTTTGAGATTCTCCCTGGTGAGCTTATTTCAACAATCCATCATACTTGGGGTCTAGCAGTTATAATTACTGAAATATAGGGTGTGAAAAATCGAGATTTTCCAAGTTCAAGAATTTTTTGTGTCGAAACTATTCATAATTGGTCAAAACGGCTAACATGTCCCCATCTCAACTCTTGATTAACTATCTACTGATATTTAATTGGGACATATACCGGGTGATCAAGATTCTGAATTCTGCACCACCCTGTATTTGTTTCAATTAAATGTCAGTAGATAGTTGATCAAAAGTTGAGATAGGGACATGTGAGCCGTTTTGACCAATTATGAATGGTTTAGACACAAAAAATTCTTGAACTTGGAAAATCTCGATTTCTCACACCCTATATCTCAGTAATTATAACTGCTAGACCCCAAGTATGATGGGTCGTTGAAATCAGCTCATCAGGGAGAATCTCAAAATGAAATAATATATAGGGTGTTCGATAGAAAAAAGTTTAACTTCAGTGTTTTATGGTTTTTGGGGACAGCCTGTATGTTTCGAAATAATTTTAAATGGTAGCCCTCGTGGTAGCCTATGTTGACATGCAACTTCCTAGAGAGAAAGAATTCCAAGAAGATAAGTGGTTAGCCTTCTAGAGACCGAGGCGTTACTGGTGGCCCACCCTGTATAGTGAAACCAAGATAAGGTAATATAGGGATCTCGGGAACAGAAAAAGAAACGGATTCGGTTAAATGAGAAACAAGTTGCGCATTTTGATGATCATACCAACGGATTTGGAAAATTTTCACAATTGTTTTTAGTTTTTCAGTTATACAGGGTGTTCCTTGAGTACGTGTAGAAAATTCAGGAACATGTTGCTGACGTCAAAATAAGAAGAAAAGTTCGTATAAATATATGTCCGAAAGTTATCCGTTTCTGAGATACAGAGTGTCAAAGTTGAATTCTTATTTTTGTTTTTTGTTAATAAATTCCAAAATAATTGTGATATTCGATTGAATTTTGGTATTTCGGGGTATTTTTCGATGACAATATCAAATTTTATGTTAGTTCATCTCTTTCGTGAGGGTGGCGGCATCTACATGTCTTTTGAGTCTTTTGAAAAGTCACAACTTTTTTGTGCGTCCCTGTATCACGTTCTATAGTAGGAAAATAGTTTTCTAGAACACGTTCGTGTAAAGAACATATTCTTCTGCGAGCAACAGTTCTCGAGTTATTGGGATTTTCAAGAATCGATGCAAGTAATTTGGAATGACGAAGAAGTAGGAATTCAAAATTGATTTATCAAGTAGGTAAGGAAAATTATTTTTTTTTTTATTAATACTGATGATAATAACTGTAATTAAGACCAAATAAATACTAAAACAGTTAGTTGAGGAAATTGATTAAAGTAATTGTTCAAAATGGCAAAAAAATAGATACAAAGAAGTAAGAATCATTATTTGGCTACATTCCAATGTTGAATTGTTGAATGGATGAGAATATTGAATGAAAGAAGAAAAATGCACTGACGTATCTTTTCTAACTGCTTAGAGTCGACTCACGAGCCCAATGGAATTAATTCAAATGCATCGATTGTTTCAAATCCCAATATCTCGAAAACAGTTGCTCGCATCGACCTCTACCAAGAATATACTTTTTACACAAAAATGTCCTAGAAATCTATTTTCTAACTATAAAACGTGATGAATCGAATGAAGTTTGGTACTTTGTCTCTTTCGTGGGGGTGGCGCTACCTACATGTCTTTTGAATTTTTGAAAAGTCATAACTTTTCTGTTCGTACCTGTATCACGTTTTATAGTAAGAAAATAGATTTCTAGGACATTTTTGTGTAAAAAGTATATTCTTGGTAGAGGTCGATGCGAGCAACTGTTTTCGAGATATTGGGATTTGAAACAATCGATGCATTTGAATTAATTCCATTGGGCTCGTGAGTCGACTCTAAGCAGTTAGAAAAGATACGTCAGTGCATTTTTCTTCTTTCATTCAATATTCTCATCCATTCAACAATTCAACATTGGAATGTAGCCAAATAATGATTCTTACTTCTTTGTATCTATTTTTTTGCCATTTTGAACAATTACTTCAATCAATTTCCTCAACTAACTGTTTTAGTATTTATTTGGTCTTAATTACAGTTATTATTATCAGTATTAATAAAAAAAAAATAATTTTCCTTACCTACTTGATAAATCAATTTTGAATTCCTACTTCTTCGTCATTCCAAATTACTTGCATCGATTCTTGAAAATCCCAATAACTCGAGAACTGTTGCTCGCAGAAGAATATGTTCTTTACACGAACGTGTTCTAGAAAACTATTTTCCTACTATAGAACGTGATACAGGGACGCACAAAAAAGTTGTGACTTTTCAAAAGACATGTAGATGCCGCCACCCTCACGAAAGAGATGAACTAACATAAAATTTGATATTGTCATCGAAAAATACCCCGAAATACCAAAATTCAATCGAATATCACAATTATTTTGAAATTTATTAACAAAAAACAAAAATAAAAATTCAACTTTGACACTCTGTATCTCATATAAACGAATAACTTTCGGACATGTATTTATACGAACTTTTCTTCTTATTTTGACGTCAGCAACATGCTCCTGGATTTTCTACACGTACTTAAGAAACACCTTGTATAAAGAAAGTAAATTTTTGGAATATCTATTTGTTTTTCTACATTATTATTAGATATATAGAAAACTCTAAAAATACTTTTACATGGCATCTCTTGATGAGATTTAACGTGGTGATATTGATTTCTCCACGCGACGTTTCGTATTCGTAGAGAAATCAACAACTTTTTTTCCAAATACGGCCCTGATTATCTGTTTACAGATTTCGAAATTTTTTTTTTATTCTGAGTTCAACCATGGGGAATTATTAACAATTTTGTAAATTTTCGAAATCCATTGGTATGACCAGGTATGACCCTTGGAATGCGTAATTTTTTTCTCATTTAACCGAATTCGTATCTCTTACCGTTTCCGAGATCCCTCGCGAGACCCTCATGCTGCGCAACCTCGTGCGCAACCTTATCATGGTCACACTGTTCAACTTTTTTGTTAAGTACCAATATCTATCGAGAAAAAATAGTTGAGAAATTGAAAATGGCAAAGATTTGTTATATTCAAATTGAAAGTAAGAGGAAAAATTCGAGAGATCAGACGACTAAGTTTATGTAAAAAAACAATTAGAAGAGTTGAAATAATTTACTAGGTATTTGAAATGAACATTCTCAGATATATTTATTATTAATGAACACAAAAAAATGGATATATCGATGGGTTTTTGGCAGAGTAACGTAAGTCGCATTTTTAGGAAAAACGAGATAGTCATAGTATATCAAGTACCGATTGAGAATACATGTCCTGGCAGAGTGTTGTGACTCAAATAAATCATTTAATCATAGAAATTCCCTCCAATATTGAAACGTAAGTACATAAATCCAAACCAGTAACAAAATAAAGCAACGTAAGTATATTCCTTGTCCCGTCATATTAGCGTAAGTGGATTGCATTTCCCGTCATACTGATGTAAGCAGAACAAAATATACGTCACTTACGTCAGGGTTTGACGGTGAATTTGGCAGTAGAGTTTGTTATCTGTGAACAAGTTTTATTTGTTTGTGAATTGATAGTTCTGGTAAGTATTTGAAATTATCATTCCCTAATCGATAGTTAATAATGAAAACATAATAAACACAACACAACCAGTCATAACATCAGTAGAAGTTTCACTTACTACTCTCCAAAAATGTAACGTAAGTAACAAATTCGACATAGAAATAGGTTTCCATGATTTTTTTTCACCTGAATTCTTTTCGAGAACACTTTATATAAACTTTTGTTCAGTTTTGTCTTTCTGTTTTGTTTTTTCATGTCTCATAGACAAAAACGTGTCTCCTGTAAAAACATCAGTTTGTGACTTACGTTACTCTGCCAAAAACCCATCGATATATATAAAAAAATACATTGAGAATTCGCATTCTCTATGTGATAAAAATATCAATTCAGAATTACTTTCCACGTCCTGTATGATGAATGTCAATTCATCATACATTCAAAAATTACTAGGTATTATTTCTCGTGCACAAAACGTCAACCTTCTGTATCTAGGAATCGGCAATAAAATGTCAATCAATGAAAATGATCGATCTATCATTGTACAAAAATATAAGGAAATGAAGCGAAGGTTGAAATAAAGTAAATGATGATATTTCTCCAATACCTACCTGTATTATTGTATACATCTTTGAATAGGAGAATATTGTATTTTTCCAGCTTTTGTGCAAAAAAACTTCAAAATGTTTCTCGGGATGTTTCTCTATGCCACATGTCTGTAGCAATAAAAGTTTTGGCCCCTATATCAAGATTGTTTATGAAACTAACTCTACAGTTTATAGATCGGCTCATAGTAAGTCGCTAAATTTCATACTTATATTTCTGTGAACTCGTTTGTCCGAATTGCAAAGATATACAGGCTGTCCCTGTATTCACAAAAGAATACTTAATATTCCTCATCAGACCAAAACAATACGAAATATACAAGCAAACTTACTTCAGTACAAAGTTGCTTAGTTTGAGCCTCGGTTAGAGCGCTAGACAAGTAGACAACATGTTTTAAATTACTAGAATTACGAATTTTTTCGAGATCATGAGAGTAATAGAATTTTATCAAGTGTACCTTCTAGATGTTTATTTACTGAAAAAATTGGATTCTACGCCTAGCATGGAATGATATTCATCATAATTTCGATCATTATCATGATATGGGTTTTATTGCTTGATAAAGCTATGTCAACGTAGGTACAAAATTCTCCAGAGCCGTTTAGCGCCCAAACTGAGCAATTTTATACTTAGGTAGGTAGATTTGATATAATTCAATTGTTGTGGTCTGAGGAATATGTGGTATTTTTTGTATAGACCTTTTAGGCACACCCTGTTTGGTATTTCAAAGTGTTCAATGAAATTGATTAACATTTATACATTTTGTGTCGGCCCCATATTGGATTTCAAGTAGTGTCATATGGTTTTTGTATTCTACTTGTCATTCTCTCTTATTTGGTACCCATGTCGAGGGAATTGTGAACGAATTCAGTAGTTATTTACCAAACAAGTGCGAAAAGTAGTAGTTTACCGCACGCGACGGCTATTGCACGAACGACGCGGGGCGGAGTTCGGGCAAGCCGTCAATTGTGGAAAAGACATTTGCCGCAAGTAGAGTAAGGTATAATGTTTTTCCACGAGTGTTTTTGTCCATATTATTATTATTTGAGAAAAAAAAGTTTTTAATAAACAAGATTTTAATAGTTACATAGATCATTTAGTTAGTCATAAATATCCCCATTTTCAACAATACAAAAATCGTGGCGAAAAGTAACTTTTCAGCACTAGTGGGGTAAAGTAACTTTTCCGCACGCTCGTATAAAAAGGAATTTTTTTTGTCGGCGGCCATATTGGATTTCAAGCTTTGTGATAAATTGTATTCTACTTTATAATAACCGTATTGAATCTGATAATACCCATATTGACCAGACCCAAAGATATGTGTAAAATTTCAGCATGATTGGAAATCGGGAAGTCGACGAAAAATCGATCGCCAGACAGAACTCAAAATGTTCAATAAAAAATAAATTTTTCTCGATCTTCTCATCTTTCCGAATAATTAACAGGATTCCAACGGGAAACCTTGAAGAGAATGAAAATTCGACTGACTAACATAATATGATATTCTAAGTGAGACAAGGTACTCTCGGTGTTCGCGGTACCTCTCCGGCTCTCCGTCAAAAAAAAATCAACAAAGTAGGTCTTGAAGCAAAATACTGTGCAGTCCATATATGTTTTCTTTGCGCAAAATTCATTTTCATATCTGAACATCGTTGAGAAATTTGACTTCAATTTTCTAAAAATTGCTGGGACTACCAAGTTATTCACAAAGAATACCCAAAGAATTCTCGAACTTCCCAAAGAATTCCTCGGACTTCCCAAGGAATACCCGGACTTCCTCAGGAATTCCCGGACTTCCCAAGGAATTCCTGGACTTCCCAAAGAATTCCCGGACTTCCCAAGGAATTCCCGAAGAATTCCCGGACTTCCCAAAGAATTCCCAGACTTCCCAAGGAATTCCCGTCTAGGGTACACCGGACTTCCCATGTGATTTACCCCTCGGGGTATCTCATTGAAGGTACCACAAAGCATAGAAAACATACAATTATACCCCAAATTGAATGGTCTTTCCCTTAGACTGACATCATTAAACTTCTGGAAGAGCTTTAAAAATCTATTCCTGATGGATCAAAAACAAACCATTTACCATGTGAAGACAATGTTATTACATCATCTTGAAATTGGGGGACAGTGTTCTCAACAGCTTCAACTGAAAGCAAGAATCAAGATATAATGTTGGCTTTGAGTTAGACATCAAAATTTACCCAGAATTTGGTCAGAAGAAAACCATCCTCTGTAAAATGAATTGAACAGATGTCCAGATGATGACAATTCCAAGTTTCCAAGATCTATTCTATTGAATTCATGAATCCTCCAGTACATCTTATGTGATAGGTAAAGATAGGCATCAAAAGTATTTTAGATAGGTACTTATACTTCGCCTTTTTACTTTGCCCTCATGTTCAACAAGGAGTTATGCAGTCGTGAACATATCACTTCATCACTTTAACCATGTATAATAGTGATATTACTAAATTTCTGATAATAATATTTTTGACTTTTTCGGAAATAAATTCGATGACAAGCAGTCACAAGTGGCAGCTAATGAAACTGGCAAGATTTCGTTGTTTTCCTCTCATGTATCACCATACAGCCACACAAGTCTGAGATTAGTATAATTTGACCCATATTTCAATGCCCATGTTCTGTTCAGAAATTTGGTATGAAACCATTGGCAATAGAAAATAACACGTCGGTATCTGACAGCGGCAACAACTTGAACACTTCTGAGCGGTTTGTTTTGATGATATGCCCAACAAGCACAAACAAAAAATGAATGGACAGCCTTCAAGAACTCCGACAGGTGGCCTACGCTTATTTTCTATCGCCAATAGGATCGCGCGTTCTAGTCGTAAGATATAAAGGTTATGAGTTCTGTGGATAAAAGGAATAAAAACGAGTGAAACTCGCAAATATACCTCTTGATTTCTTCTTCTCCTGATCGTACATGATGACGACTTCCATGACTTTGCCGAATCTGGTGAAGAAGCTTCTCAGGTCCGTTTCGGTCACGTTGGATGGCAGTCCGCCGAGGAACACTTTGGGGTAGCCGCCGCCCTTCTTCGGTTTCTGCAACGTTCTCGGATTGCACGGTTTCGGATCGATGGTCCTGCAACATGAAGAATTGTCACTTTTTGGTCTTTCTGGAGATGTTTCTAAAATGTTTTCAAAGACTCTTTTACTAGCTTTACCTGTAGGTAAGTATGTATGTTTATGTGTATATATGTATGTAAGTATGTAATTATGTATGAAATTATGTACGTATGTATGTAAGAATGTATATATGTAAGTATGTAATTATGTATGAAATTATGTACGTATGTATGTAAGAATGTATATATATATGTAAGTATGTAATTATGTATGAAATTATGTACGTATGTATGTAAGAATGTATATATGTAAGTAAAATTGGTATATGGGGGTTTTCGGGGTCGGAGATTATGATGCTTTTGTCAAAATTGGGCACTTTCCAAACATTCTAAAATACACGCTTTTGTAGTTAGCTGAACTAAAAAAATAGAAAATATATAGTGTTGAAAAGGAATATTCTCAGATAAATTATAAACATACAAAAAATGGATATATATTTATATAAAGCAATACATTGAGAATTCGCATTCTCTATGTGATGAGAATATTTACTCTTTTTCAGTTAATTCAATAGAAAACAACTACTTTCCTGGCTATATGCCACGACGAACATTGAATTATATCTATTGAACACACACGATAAGAGTTTGAAAATAAAATATAAAAATTTCTGAAATTGAGAATTTGCATTCTCCTTCAGACAAAAATATGTATATACACACATCATTCTGAATATTCAACAGAAAACAACTACTTTCCTGGCTATTTGCCACGTCGAACATTGAATTATATCTGATGAACATTCAAAAGGGGAACATAAAAAATAAAGAATAAAATCCTCCGAAATTGAGAATTGACATTCTTCTTCAATTCTCAATTTCGGAGGATTTTATTCTTTATTTTTTATGTTCCCCTTTTGAATGTTCATCAGATATAATTCAATGTTCGACGTGGCAAATAGCCAGGAAAGTAGTTGTTTTCTGTTGAATATTCAGAATGATGTGTGTATATACATATTTTTGTCTGAAGGAGAATGCAAATTCTCAATTTCAGAAATTTTTATATTTTATTTTCAAACTCTTATCGTGTGTGTTCAATAGATATAATTCAATGTTCGTCGTGGCATATAGCCAGGAAAGTAGTTGTTTTCTATTGAATTAACTGAAAAAGAGTAAATATTCTCATCACATAGAGAATGCGAATTCTCAATGTATTGCTTTATATAAATATATATCCATTTTTTGTATGTTTATAATTTATCTGAGAATATTCCTTTTCAACACTTTCATACCCAATCAGGGGGTTCAAACTTGAACGATGGAAACTTGTGATTTTTATAGACCTCTAATCGCAGATTCGTGATAGAGTCTCAATTCAGAATTCATTTCCACGCCCTGTATGATGAATGTCAATTTATCATACACCCAAAAGCAAAAATATATAGTATTTTGGAAAATTGACAAACATCCTTCTATAGATAGCCAAACGAAAATGAGGCAGAAAATAAAATAATAAAAGTATGTTGATAAATACACACCATAAAATGTACTGATTAGGAAGGTGCTAATCTTTTCTATGTTGTGTATTTATTAACAAACATTCATTATTTTATTTTCTACCTCTTTTTAATTTGTCTATCTATAAAAGGGTAAAAGGCGAAGAAAAGTGTCTCTTTAATTGTTCAAACTATTATTTATATCATTGTCTTATTAAGGACTTTTGCGTCAGTTTCATCAGCGAGAATTTCGAAAAACTGTCTTATTCATCATAGTTTTTTACGCTCTCCGAATTCTTTATCGTTTTTCGAAAATGTATGAATGGAAGTTTGCGTCGGTAAGTCGAGGAAAAGCCCGACTCATTTCGTTAAACTCGTACAATTAATTCATCTTTCATCTCGAAGGCATGAAAATATCGTCTCTATATTTGACGTTTTTCACGACATATCGATGTTTTTCACGTTTGACGCATACGCAACGATTCATTCACGTATTTATCACACTTTTGTTACATACATGATACTTTTTCGCGAGCTTTCTCACGGTTTCTTCATGTCTTATGTACAGGGTTATCCATCGAGAAGCCCAACCCCTATATTTGTTATTATTTATAGGAAAAAAACAAACGATATTCGGAAGTTGAATGACGCAATGAAGCCTTTTCACTGCCCTTATCAGAAGCTTCAGAGGTAAATCCCACAAATCGATTTTTTTGAATGGAACACCGTTTTAAATATTTTTTTTTGAATGTGTGATTTTTTGTGATCACTAAAGTATATATATACAGTATGATATCTACTATTTTCATTTCATTACCATCCACTTTTTTGACCCCAGAAAAACATTTTTTTCTGATTAATTGATGATCACCCAAGTTTGGGAATGTAGGTTTTTCACTATTTTTCGCGATTTTGACGCATACGTGACGCTTTATATGCTTACTTCACGATATCTTCTCGTCAAATGCTCGCTAATAGTTTTGACGCATATATAAATAATGATCTTCCAATTTTTCTTTTCTTTTGACGCATTTAACATTTTTATGTTATAAGGAGATTGAGAAGCGCTCCTTCAAGTTTGTTCACGCATGTTTCCTGTTTTAGGCTCCAACCTTACGCTTTATCATCGTTAATTTCACCTTATTAACCGATGCGAAACACTCTTTCGTTTTTTATTTATCGCTTGGTGCGCACGAAAGGGAATCCCTATAATGTTCGGAGAAAATCATGCGTAGCTAGGGAGGATAGGGAGAGGAGGCATTCGGCATTCTCTCGGTTCCTACCTTTCTCTATCAGGTTCCCATTTCGAAAGACTCTCATCCGTTTCACTGGATGAATGTACCTTGAAACCCACCCCTACTCCTCCTGGAGTAGTCCTCATAACCTTCGTCTTTTTGGTATCATACCTAAGTCGGGTGTGTCGTGTGTGTATGGGTAAGCCTAGAGTCACTGGATGGTATTATAGCCCAGTCACCTTAGGAAAAATAGCGGGAATCGGAGCCAAAGTTTTGAAAATTGGTGTACGTGTTCCTTTAAGCATTACATCTTACCAAAAAAAAGTCACCACCCGTACCTGTAGAGCTTGCGCCGCCATCTTGGAAAATAGGTGCAATATTTCAGTTTTTCACGTATATCTCGGTAACTGTCAACTTTATCGCGATAAAGGTGATGAAATAAAAGGAAGCTAACAAAATTTCTCGTAAAAAAGTATCTCTCAATTATTTTCGAAATATCCACGGTTTTGGACTTATGTCGCCACAACCATTTGGCAAAATATGATATTCTACTGGAAACCGACTGAACAAACTATAATTCAGTTAGATACGCTCCTGGTGACTTGCAGAAAAGCATGTATAGCTATAATCGTTCAATGCAAGTCCAGACAGGCTGAAATCATAATTACGTTTTATCCTATCAGTATTCGCTTTTTTTATGTTCTGGTTTCCCCGAGAAAGGATATCCTGTAATGTTCAGAGAACATCGTGAAGACCAAGAGAAATAAGGTAGGGATTGGTGATTGGTGTTCTTCTTAAATTTCTGGAAAATAAAGAATGTCATCTTCGTCATTTGAGAATGTATGCATCATGTCGGGTTCGTCCGTATTCATTACTTATGAGGGATGAAACGGAAAAAAACGATGCCGTGCATCCTTCCTTGCAATTGCAAGAAATTATCTGACGCAAAGAATCTGGAGCAGCAGATAGAGTAGTTGACACAGGTACCCGACCAACAGCACTCCTCTTCCACCCCCAAAGCTCAGGACATTTTTGATTACCCAACCACTTTTGTATCTGGTGATTGGCTCTGAAGGAGTGCTGCCTCAAAGTTGCTTCCGTCGGTGGCAGAGAAGCCAGATCTACTTTCTTGTTGGTAGCAGATTTACCGAACATATTGTACCGGTGCTTGTTCAATGATGTTTCCGTTGTATGGGCACCATACAAAGCTAGAACGAATCATTCACCTGCTGCAGATACTTCTTCACTGGTCGCTTCCGGGTTGTTGAAAGTCTTCGCAACTTCTCGTAATGACGGCTGGTGCTTCATGAGTTTGGAGCATTTCGACTTTCCTTTTCTGAAGAAACATGATGTGGTATCACAACATCCAAAGGCATGTGAGAAGAAGATAGTGCTCTGTAATTTAGTACTGGTTTGTAGTCTCTACATTGCCTCTTTTTGGTTTGACAAAATAAATGGTGTGTTCTGCTGGAGCCAAAGCTATGGGTAGAATAAGTAGATCTACATCTTCTCCAACAACGGTGACTTGGGTGGAGGAAGACATTTCAATAGATGTCTGTATCATTAGCGAATCCGCATTGTCCACTGCTTGCTTTGTGCCTTGAACCCTTCGTTTTTTGTATCTGTGTGGAGTTCAGCTATTTTTGCATGAATGGTGAAAGCAATAATTTTATTCCAATATTCATTCAAGATATCTCAGAATTATTTCAAATCTGATTCGATTGAGTTTATGTAGGGGCTACAATTCATTTATTTCAACATCAAACTCTTACTCTTCGAGCTACTTTAGGTTACAGGTCGGCTCACTTGAGAAAACGTGGATATGTGGCAACACTGGTATTCTGTAATGACCGATCGCTGTTGCGAGGATCCTCGAATGTGGCGCCGACTCTCTGACATTTACTTGTAGATGGAATATATGTATATCAGAATAATTGTGAGTAAGTTTCTCAAATATCGCATATTGTTTCACGATTTACTGATGAACCATGCACTACACGAATATTTATGTGAGGGCCTTTTTTCTTCTAAATTCAATTACCTTCATTTTACCTAAGCATATTGATCTTGATAAAGTCAACAGATATTGAGATATAACCGAATAACTGAAAAAGTGCACACATTTTTCAAGATGGCGGAGTTAGCTCTACAGGTACAGCTGGTGACTTTTTTTTTGGTTGAAAGTCATGCCAAAGTGAACATGTACACCAATTTTCAAAACTTTGGGTTCGATTCCCGCTATTCGTCAAATTTGATACTAAGGTGATTGGGCTATTAGTTTGATGA